GCAGGCGTTAAGCTGCCCCCTTGCAGGGCTAGCATCCCACATTGGAGCGCCCCTTCAAGTCCCAGGCTGCTCCACTTCCAAGCCAGCTCGCTGCTAACGCACCCGGGAAGGCAGCCGAGGATGGCCCGAGTGCTTGGGCCCCTGCCACTCATGTGGGAGACCCAGAGGAAGCTCCTGGCTCCTGGCTTTGGCCTGGCCCAGCCCTGGCTGTTGCAGCCATTTGGGGAGTGAACCAGCAGGTGGCAATCTCTCACTGTCTGTCTGTCTCTCTCCCTCTCACTTCTCCCCAGCCCCACCCCTTCACTCTGCCTTTCAAATAAATCTAACAACAAAAGCGATCCCGGCTCCCCTCTTGATTCCAGCTTCCTGCTAATGCATTTCCTGGGAGGTGGCGGCGGCTGATGGTTGGGAGACCTGGAGTTCATTCCTGGCTCCCTGCTTTTGCCTGGAGAGTCCTGGTCACGGCAGGCATTTGGGGAGTGAACCAGGGCGTGCGAGATCTCTCTGTCTTTCCGCCTCTCAAATTTAAAACATCATCAGTGTGACTGGAGCGCGCATGTGCAAGGGAGAAGTGTGTGGAGCGAGGACAGAAAGGCGAGCAGAGCCCAGCTACGAACGAAGGAGCTGCTACAGCAAAGTGGCTCGAAAGGTGGAGTCCCCGAAAAGCGCTCAGCTAGGGAGGGGCATGCTGTGGCTAGACGCTAGCAGGGGAGGCCGGTTGGGCCCCAGGGGCCAAGACTCACGGCCCACACTCCTTTGGGGCTGATCTATCCCCTGCCCAGTGACCGTAACCTTGGGCAAGGCCCTAACCTTGAGATGATTGAGGCACCAAGGAGCATGCACAACAAACCCAAGTCCCCTAAATCCCTGGTCTTCCCGCATCTCTGCTGGCCGTTCAGGACTGGAGCCTCGGCTCCCAGCCCAGCTGACTCAGGCCCTCGGCCCCCTGCTGCCCTCCTCAGCCCGCATTAGGCACAGGCAAGCCGTGCAAAGATAACACAGGGGGATTCATACAGGAGCAGCCCGTGCTGTGCCACCCCAGGCCCCAGGTCTCCTGGGGTTGTTTGCATTCCAGGAAAGCACAAATCCTCTCCAGATGCTGGGGTCTGAGGGAGCCTGCAGGAAAACCCACCTGGCCACCAAATCCCAGGTCCTCCTTGTTGGGCCTTTCCCCTTACCAGACAGCAGGTGGCAGCACTGCAGGATTTTTAAAACCAAAACCAAAAAATTCAAAGTCCAAACTTCAAAGGAGTGTCTATACTCTGGTGCCAGCTCTCCCTCTGTTTGCTCACCACCTCCGGCCACAGGGCCCTCTCCCGGCCTCTGACCTCTGTCCCTCCTCAGTTAATGAGAAACAAATTTCCATGAACCCTGAAAAAGCGAGAGCTGGAGGCAAGGGGGCCTATGAGACCAGGGCTATCAATTTTTCTTTTTTTTTTTTTAAGACATTTATTTATGTGAAAGAGTTTCAGAGCAAGAGGGAGAGAGCTTTCCTCTGCTGGTCCCCTTCCCAAATGGCTGAAACAGCTACTGCTGGGCCAGGCTGCAGCCAGGAGCTGGAACTCCCATGTAGTCGCAAGGCCCGCAGCATTCGGGCCATCTTCTGCTGCTTTCCCAGGTGCATTGACAGGAGACTGGGTTGAGAGTGGAGCAGCCAGAACTCAAACCAGCACTCAGGTGGGATGCCAGTGTTACAGTTGGTGGCGTAACCAGCTGCGCCACCACACTGGCCCCCTATCAGTTTGTCTTTAGGTCCAAGCCCACATCTGTTCTGAGCCACAAAGCATCCTGTGGCTCACCCCACTCCCCAAAATGGAAAGGATCAATGCCTGGGGCCGGCACTGTGGCATAGCAAGTCAAGCCTCCACCTGTGGCACCGGCATCCCATATGGGCACCGCTGCAAGTCCCGGCTGCTCCACTTTCAATATCCAGCTCCCTGCTAATGCGCCTGGGAAAGCAGAAGATGGCCCAAGTCCTTGGGCCCCTGCCACCCATGTGAGAGACCTAGAAGTTCCTGGCTCCTGACTCTGGATCGGTCCAGCTTCAGCCATTGCAGCCATTTGGGGAGTGAACCAGCAGATGGAAGACCTCTTGCTCTGTCCCTCCCTCTCTCTGTAACTCTGGTTCTCAAATAAATAAATCTTGAAAAAAGAAAAAAGCTCATATTCAAGGAACAGAAGTGCTTCGTTAATTTTGTGGATTAAGGATGCCTCCAGGGCCAGGGTCTCACATCAGTTTTAGAATCCATGAGCTCCTCCTGCTAATCTCATCTGTCTTAGAAAGGATGGGGTGGGGGGGTGCAGGCAGTGCTGTGGCATAGCAGATGAAGCTGCCGTCTGCAGTTCTGGCATCCCATATGGGCGCCGGTTTGTGTCCCAGCTGCTCCACTTCCAATCCAGCTCTGACCTGGGAAAGCAGTGGAAGATGGCTCAAGTCCTTGGGCCCTTGCACCCACGTGGGAGACCTGGAAGAAGCTCCTGGCTCCTGGCTTCGGATCGGCACAGCTTCGGCCGTTGTGGCCAACTGGGAGTGAACAAGCAGATGGAAGACCTCTCTCTCTCTCTCTCTCTGCCTCTCCTTCTCTCTCTGTGTAACTTTTTTTTCCCCACAGGCAGAGTTAGACAGTGAGAGAGAGAGAGACAGAGACAGAGAGAAAGGTCTTCCTTTTGCCGTTGGTTCACCCTCCAATGGCCGCCACGGCTGGCGCTCTGCAGCCGGCGCACCGCGCTGATCCGAAGGCAGGAGCCAGGTACTTATCCTGGTCTCCTATGGGGTGCAGGGCCCAAGCACTTGGGCCATCCTCCACTGCACTCCCTGGCCACAGCAGAGAGCTGGCCTGGAAGAGGGGCAACCGGGACAGAATCCGGCACCCCGACCGGGACTAGAACCCTGTGTTCCGGCACCACTAGGTGGAGGATTAGCCTATTGAGCCGCGGCGCCAGCCTCTGTGTAACTTTGACTTTCAAGTAAATAAATAAATTTTAAAATAAAGAGATAAATAACATTTATTTTCTAACTTTAAAGTGATGTAATAACTTCAGAGAGATCAAGCTGAACAGAGAAAGTATTGAAGTCAACATCACCTTATACTCAAGGCAGCAGTTCCCTTGGATTTTTGCAGTGGGCGCCTTCTGCATTTGGGAACACGGTGCACTGAGGGCTTGCGGCTCGCTGGGGGTCTGAGCACAAACAGACGCAGCTCTTGCTCTCTGGGGGCTCACGTCGGATGAGGGAAAGGGGCCCACAGAGACAGCTGCAGTGTTGGTAATCAGGTGCCCACTGCTGGGTTGGCAGGGACCCACCGGTCCTGGGGTGGAGTTCCCACGTCCTAGGGCATCCCTCAAGTCCCAGGCAAGCCAGGATGATTTCTGAGAGCTCACCCCATCAGACCAAGCCAGTCAGAGTCCAGAAGTCCATTTTCACTTTGACACTGGCCCTTCGTGGTTACGCTGCACACCGTGTAGGGCCCCAAAGAGCTCTGGCTTAGGCAGCTTCCACTTAATTAATAGTCACAGTACTGGAGTTTAAATGGAGAAAGTGTTAGAACACCAGCAAAAGCAAGCACACAATGGGCTCGCCCTCGGGGGAGGCCACCACTCACGCTACAGCCTCTGTTACTCCCCTGAGAGAGAAAAGCAAATGACAACCCAGTGCTGCTGTGAAAATTAACCTGACCTCACAGGGCCCCTGAGGGGCTGTGAGGGACCCCCAGGGCTTCCCAGCCACACGTGGGGAGCCGCAGCCGGGTGGAGAAGCCCTGTGCCCCCTCTCCCTGCCTCCTAGAGGTAAACAGAGGTGTGAGTCCACCCTCTCCACGGTTTTTCTTACAGGCTCCATCTGCCAGATCACAGCCTTAGGATTTGGGCCTTAAACAGCTAAATATGCCTGTGTGTACCGAAGACGTGAAGAAGAAAACTAGGGCAGGTGTTTGGCTCGGCACTGAAGGCACTGCTGAGGATGCCGGCTTCGTGGATCTGAGCGCCTGTCTCAAGTCCTGGCTCCTCTGCTTCCCACTGCAGCTTCCTGCTAACGCACACCCCGGAGGAGGCAGAGGACAGTCCCAGCTCTCAGGCCCCTGCCACCCACGTGGGAGACCTGCACTGATTTCTAGGCTCCTGGTTTTGTCCTGGCCCAGCCCTATCTGGGGAGCAAACCAGCAGGTGGAAGATTCTCTCTCCACCCACCGTGTCTGCCTTTCAAATAAAATAATAGTTTTTTTTTTTTTAAAAAAAGAAGAAATCTATTTATCTTTATCTTCGATTTTCCTGTTTCTCTTTCTTCCAGCCTGTGGTGCTGCTCTTCCACCTGGTTTCATCTTCCTTCCACCTGAGGAACTTCCTTTAGCATTTCTCAAAGTACAGGTCTGCTAATGACAAACTCTCTCTCTTAATTAAACCTGAAAATAACTATTTCATCTTCAATCTGGAAGAATATTTTTATTGGAAAAAAAGCAATTCTGAGTTGACAGTTGTTTCACTTTAGCATTTAAAAATGTTTCACTGTCTGTCTTCTAGCCTATATTGGTTGTTTTTAAAATGTTTATTTATTTATTTATTTATTTGAATGGCGGAGAGAGAGAGAGAGAAATATCTCCCATTCACTGGTTCACTTCCCAAATGCCTGCAATAGCCAAGGCAGGGCCAAGTTGAAGCCAAAGCCTGAATTCTGTCCCGGTCTCCCATAGGGAGTGGGTGACACGGACCCAAGCACTTGGGCCATCATCTGCTGCCTTCCCAGGCATGTTAGCAGGAAGCTGGATGGAAAGCGGAGAGGCTGATACTCAAACGGGGACATGCAGCTCTCGCTGCATCCAAGGGGCGGCTTGGGGACCAAACTGCAAGTGGGTGTCCCTGCTGGGGCCGCTTCAAGAGCCGCCTTTGCCCCCAGCCACAGGTCCTGACGTTCCTTGCTTTTCCTTTAAGTTGTATGGGGTGCGCTATTCCTAAGCTAAACAGCAGGTGGCGCGCAACCCAGAGGATGAAAAACCAGCTGAGTTGCCTAACAGGTTTCCAGTAACTTCCTCCTCCCCCTCCAGTCCCACCTCTTGTACCCAGGCCAGGGCCACGTCCTCTCCCAGGTCCCAGATGTCCAGTTCCAGATGCCTGGTCCCAGAATGGGGAAGCCCTGGAGAAGCCCTCCCTCCACCAGCTGCTCAGGCAAGATGTGAGTGTGCCCTACGGAGAGGCCTGGAGGAGGACCAGGTCTGGGGAGAGGGGAAGGGTGTGTCCACTCACACACGCAAGGTGCACATACACAGGGCATGGACACACACACAGAGCACACACACATAAGTCATACACGCCGGGCACACACATGCGGGGTATACACACATACTCACAGAGCATACACACACAGAGCATACACACACACAGGGCATGGACACACATACAGACCACACACACACAAGTCATACATACACACAGGGCACACACACACACGGGGTATACACACAGAACATACACACAGGGCACACACACATGGGGTATACACACAGAACATACACACAGGGCACACACACACAGAACATATACACACACAGGGCATGGACACACATCCAGAGCATACGCACACACGAGGTCACACACACCGGGCATACACACACACAACATAGCATATACATGCAGGGCATATACACACACAGGAGGTCACTCACACAGGGAGTATACAAACACAAGGCATGCACACACACACATGGCATACACACAGCACATGAACATGCACACAGGATGTGCACACACACACACATGCACACAGCAGTTAATTGAGCGAGTTGTGGCCTCTTCCAGCCTTCCAGGGCGGTGGTCGGCTCAGTGGCTGAGCCAGGAACAACATTCCAGTGTCTCTGCTTGTCCCCACCATCGCTCCCTCAGATCCCCGGCAAGGTGGTGGTCTCTGCGGAAGCCACACAGGAGGCCTCAGGGGTTGGGTTGGGGTGGGGCGGGGCAATGAAGACTGGAAGTGCCCAGGCCTCAAGGACTGAGGCCACAGGTGCTGGCACTTGCCTTTTTTTTTTTTTTTAAGGTTTATTAATCTGTTTGAAAGTCAGATTTACAGAGAGAAAGGGAGAGACAGAGAGAAGAGAGACAGAGACAGAGATCTTCCATCCTCTGGTTCACTCCCCAAATGGCTGCAACAGCCAGGGCTGGGCCAGGCCAAAGCCAGGAGCCAGGAGCCAGGAGTTCCCATGTGAGCGCAGGGGCCCAAACACTTGGGCGATCTGCTGCTGCTTTCCCAGGCACATTACCAGGGAGCTGAAGCAGAAGAGGAATAGCTGGGACTTGAACCGGCGCCCACATGGGATGCAGGCACCGCAGACAGTGGCTTTACCAGGCCTCACCATCCCTTAGCATCCTGCACCCCCACTCCTGTCTATCCACAGGTCTCAAACCACAGCTGTGTCTCCTCCTCTTGTGCCTCTCCCCAGCAGGTGGTGGTTGCTCCTCTGGGGAGTCCTCCAGGCTTGCCCCACCCAGGGCTTCGTCCTCTTGGCCCAGCAGCACCCCCAGCAGTTTTCATCCCCTGGGTACCCCGAGCCGTATCTCAAAGGCCAGGAGAGTGCCCTTGACATCCAGGCTCCAGAGGGCTTCGCTGTGAGGCTCGTCTTCCAGGACTTCGACCTGGAGCCATCCCAGGACTGTGAAGGGGACTCGGTCACAGTAAGCTGGAGCTGGGCTGGGGTCCTTCAGGGCCTCTGGGGAGGGGCTCCAGGGGACGTGGGAGGTGGCTGTGCCCTCAGTCAGCCATCTAGAGGAGGCACGCAGGGCTCTCAAGTCAGCTCACCTAGGAGGCCAAGGTGTACCCCAGGCACGGGCTCCCACCGGCACCGCCGTCCCTGGCTGCCACCCAGGCCCCACAGAGCACGGGAGAGGGCAGCAGGATGGCCCTGCAGTTTGAAGACTTGTGAAGGGGCACAGAAACATTGCGCATCTATAGAGTAAAAAGCCAGGGACCCCCAAGTCCACAGCCTCTGGGTCAAGGTCAAGCTCAGGTCTTCTGCTGGGGGACGGAGGGAGCTGCCCAGAGGTGCTAGGTGGGTGGGAGGATCTCGGATTCTGAGGTGTCCTCACAAGGACTTTTATTCCCCCACTTTATTTGAAATGGAGAGAGGAGGAGAGAGACAGATCTTTCATCCACTGGTCCACTCCCCGAGTGCCTGCAATAGTCAAGCCTAGGCCAGGCTGAAGACAGGAGCCAGGAACTCCATCTGGGTCTCTCACGTGGATGGTGCTAACTGCTTGAGCCGCCACCTCTGCCTCCCAGGATGCACATTAGCAGGAAGCCGGATCAGTAGCAGAGGAGCCAGGACTCAAACCAAGACCCTGATACGGAGGCGCGCACTGCTCCCAAGCGACTGAACCAGCACCTGCCCCTCCTACAGGCTCTGTCCCCTTGTCCCCAGGAGTTCTTCACGCCCCGGTGCGGTGCCTGAGGCTTTCCAGGGTTCTGTGATGAGAGCCTTCTTGCTTCACGCGGGCTTCTACCATTGCAGCCTCAGGTTGCCGCTTGTCCATCGCCACGCGGTCTGCCGCGGCGTTCACGCTGTTATCTGAAATTTTTCTTTCTTTCTTAGAGAAAGAGAAAATCAGACACACAAAGAAGCATAGAGCGCTCCCATCCACCAGTTCACTCTCCAAATGCCCACAACAGCCTGGGCCAGGGCCAAAGCTCAGAGCTGGGAGCTTGAGCCAGGTCTCCCAAGGGAGGGGCAGGAACCCAATTACTTGAAAGATCGCCTGTGCCTCCTGGGGTCCGCGTTAGCAGGAAGTTGCAGTGAGGAGTGGAGCAGGTGTCTCAGCCAGGCCCTCCCGACGTGAACACGAGCACCTCAGTGGGTGCTGTGACTGCTGGGTTGAACAGCTACTCCTCTTCTCATTTTCGGCTCCTGGTTATGTATGCCTCTTTATGCCTTTGCTGTCAAATCAGTGGGGTTTGAGGTGGGGAGAAAAACATATATTTATTGCTTCAGATTTAACCAGCCTGGACTATACTTAATTCAGCCCATGTCTGTTGAGCACCAACCATGAACCCTGTTCCCTTAAGGTATATATATTATATATTTATTATAATTATATATATATTTTAAAATATACAGGGGCCAGCTCTGTGGCACAGCAGGTTACCAGCATCCCATATGGGTGCAGGTTCAAGTCCCAGCTGCTCCTCTTCTGATCCAGCTCTCTGCTATGGCCTGGGAAAGCAGCAGAGGATGGCACAAGTTCTTGGGCCCCTGCACCCACATGGGAGATTTGGAAGAAGCTCCAGGCTCCAGGCTTCAGATTGGCACAGCTCTGGCTGTTGCAGCCATTTAGGGAGTGAACCAGTGGATAGAAAACCTCTCTCTCTCTCTCTCTCTCTCTCTGCCTCTGTGTAACTCTGCCTTTTAAATAAATTAATAAAAATAAATATTTAAAAATATATATATTTGGAAGGCAGAATGACACAGGCAGATTCACTCCCCAATGACTGCCACAGCTGGAGCTGGACCAGATCAAAGCCAGGAGCCAGGAACTCAGTCTGGTCTCCCATGTAGCTGGCAGGCACCCAAGCACTTGGGCCATCCTCTGCTGCTTTCCCAGGCGCATTAGCAGGGAGCTGGTTAGGAAGCAGAGCAGCTGGGACATGAACTGGCACTCAGACATGGGATGTGGGTGTCCCAGATAGTGGCTTAACAGCTTCACCACAACACCTGCCCCTTGCTCCTTTGAAATCACGGGCAATGTTAACCTACACCTGACTCCACTCTTGAGGGATTTCAAGTCCAGGAATAAGAGTCCTCCCTCCTCTGTGCTCTGAGAGCAAGTCACACACACACCTCAAATGTCAAACTCAGCACACTATACTTTAGTTCATTTTGTGTTTTTAAAGATTTGTTTTATTTATTTGAAAGACAGAGTTACAAAGAGAGGTAGAGACAGAGTTTCACCTGCTTCACTCCCTAAATGGCCGCAATCCAAAGCCAGGAGCCAGCAGCTTCAGATCAGCGCAGCTCCAGCCATTGCAGCCATCTGGGGAGTGAATCAGCGGATGGAAGGCCTCTCTGTCTCTCTCTGCCTCTGCTTCTCTGCAACTCTGCCTTTCAAATAAATCTTTAAAACAAAAACAAAAGCCCAGCTGCAGCACCAACATCCCTTGATTCCTGGCTGTTCCACTTCCGATCCAGCTCCCTGCTAATGCATCTGGGAAATCAGCAGAGGATGGCCCAAGAGCTTGGGTCCCTGCACCCAGTGTACCTCATACTGTGCACACTCACATCCTAGATCCCCACTCATGTGCGGGTCTCAGTTACCGTCCGTGGGGTGAGAGAAGGGGTGCCCCAAAAGAAGAGCAGGATCCCCAGGAACTTGGCATTTCCCTCATAGAGGCTGACCACAGAAAGTTACTCAAAAGGGCAGGTGTGTGGAGCAACAGTTAGGACACCACTTGGGACGCCGCCATACCACACTTGAGTGCAGTTCCCAACCCAGCTTCCTCTTTTTTTTTTTCTTTTTTTTTTTTTTTAAGATTTATTTATTTAGTTGAAAGTCAGAGTTACACAGAGAGGGAGAGAGAGAGAGAGAGAGGTCTTCCAACTGTTGTTTCACTCCCCCAATTGGCCACAACAGCTGGAGCTGCACCAATCCGAAGCCAAGAGCCAGGAGCTTCTTCCAAGTCTCCCACATGGATGCAGGGGCCCAAGGCCTTGGGCCATCTTCTACTGCTTTCCCAGGCCACAGCAGAGAGCCAAATCGGAAATGGAGCAGCCTGGTCTCAAACTGGCGTCCATGTGGGGTGCCGGCACTGCAGGTGGCGCTTTTACCTGCTACACCACAGCGCCGGCCCCCCAGCTTCCTCTTCATACACACCTAAGGAAGGGCAGGTGATGGCTCAAGTACTTGGGTCCCTGCTACCCAAGGAGTTCTGGGCTCCTGGCTTTGGTCTGGTCCAAATGTGACTGTTGCAGGCATTTAGGGACTGAACCAGCAGATGGAAGGTCTCCCTGCTTCTCTGCCATTCAAATACATAAAAACAAATAAATCAAACTTTTTTCAAAAGAAAGCTACCTAAAGAAGTGGACGTGCTGAGATGCGGGTGGCAGGACAAGGGGAGAAGCGGGGCGGGAGGGACTTAGCACTGCCAGAGGCACCCTGCTGAGCATCAGGGACTCAGCAAAAACAGCCGCAGGCCTGCCTTCTTGGAACTTCCATCCCGGTGCCTCTGGCAGGAGCCCTGGAGACCCCTAAAAGCTTCTGGAAAGAAGGGAAGCAGGCTGGCGCCGCGGCTCACTAGGCTAATCCTCCGCCTGCGGCGCTGGCACCCCGGGTTCTAGTCCCAGTTGGGGTGTCGGATTCCATCCTGGTTGCTCCTCTTCCAGTCCAGCTCTCTGCTGTGGCCCGGGAAGGCAGTGGAGGATGGCCCAGGTGCTTGGGTTCTGCACCCCTTGGGAGACCAGGAGGAAGCACCTGGCTCCTGGCTTCGGATTGGCGCAGCACCAGCCGTAGTGGCCATTTTGGGGGTGAACTAACGGAAGGAAGACCTTTCTCTCTGTCCCCCCACCCCACTGTCTAACTGTCTAACTCTGCCTGTCAAAAGAAAAAAAAAAAAAAAAGGACAGCATGGTAGGTTTTATGACATGACGGCCATAGGCTAAAGAGAGCTTCTAGTGTGTGCAGATGTCTGGAAGAAAAGCAGAGAAGAAAGGCAAAGTCACCATGAACAGGAAGGCGCCAGAGGAAGGTGCTGTGGGTGAGGCTTCTGAGCCCCAGAGGGGCACAGGCCTTCCAGGTGGGGCTGGAGTCATGCCCAGGATGCGACGCTGCAATTCACCGGATTCACCAGAGTGCACCTGCCCCTCACTGCTCCTCCCCCTTCCAGATCTCAGCCAACGGGAAGGATCTCAGCCGGCTCTGCGGTCAGCAGGGCTCCCCTCTGGGCAGCTGTCCCAGTCCCAGGGAGTTTGTGTCCTCCGGGAGGCGTTTGCACCTGACCTTCCGCACACGCTCTACCCTGGAAAACAAGAGTGCCCACCTCCACAGGGGCTTCCTGGCTGTCTACCAGGCTGTGGGTGAGTGTCCCCCTGGGGGAGCAGCAGGGAGGGAGCCTCTGCCCCCAGCCCCCCCCGCCACACACACACACCATGTCTTGAAGCAACAAATGAAAGCTGGAGTAACAGCTGAGGCTGGAGGCTGAGACACCTGGGCCCCAGCGGGCCCCGCCCAGCCCTGCCTCTGTGGGCCAGCAGCCCAGTTAAAGGGCAGCTCCAGCCATTGTTTCCTGGCAGGTTTACAGCTTGCCCAATGTTTGCAGATCATCTCATTTTTCAAGAAAAACCCCCAAGCCAGATTTTTAGGTGAAATTCTAGATTTTTCAAATGACAGCTCAATTGCTTTGCTTTTTTTTTAAGACAATACATACACAAGACAAAAATTAAAAATAATAATAATAAAACAGTGTTGATAACAAGTAAGTCTTCCTGTGATCTCTGACCCTTAGCTCCTGGCTACTCTCTCCAGAAATGACCCTGTTCCCCATTTCCTGGGTATTATTTCTAAGACACCCTACACTATCAAATAGAAATTGTGTGTGTGCATGCTGTACACAATGTTTTAAACCACAGGAGCACCAGTTCAAGTCTGGGCAGCTCCACTTCCAATCCAGCTCTCTGCTAATGCCCTGGGAAAGAAGCAGGAGACCTGGTTGAAGTTCCAGGCTAACTCTGGCCAGGCCCAGCCCAGGCATTGTGGCCATTCGGGAAGTGAACCAGCAGATGGAAGATGTCTGCAGATATCTTTAAATTTAACATTTCTTCACTCACTGATAAAGATCATCCCATATCATATGGTTAGCATTGATCAATTTTTTAAGATTTATTTATTTGAAAGAGTTACAGAGTGAGGAGAAACAGAAAGAGAGAGAGAGAGAGAGAATCTTCTACCCACTGGTTCACTCCCCAAATGACCACAATGGCCAGGCTGAGCCAGGTGGAAGCCAGAAGCCTGGAACTCCATCCGGGTCTCCCACATGAGTAACAGGGACCCAAGCACTTACACTGTCTTCTGTTGCCTTCCCAGGTGCATTAGCAGGGAGCTGGCTCCTTTAATGGCCACGTAACGTCCCTTTGACTGTTATACACAGCACAATTAACCAGCCCTCCACAGCCACCAAGAGCATTGCTGTGGATATATATCCTTCTGTACCCATCTCGGGGAGTATGTGTGAGAGTATCTTTAGGGTACATTCTCAGACATGGAACTGCTAGGTTTAAAAATGAATTTTTAATTTTGATACTGCTAGGTTTCCTTCCAAAAGCTTTATTGCTAATTCACACTTCCACCATCCATGTTTGGAAGTGCCTGTTTCCCCGTGCTAACAGCTCAGTTATTTTCACTCCTTGAATCTTGACAGTCTGATCAGTGGAAACCAGTTCAGGTATGTGCTTGTGTGTTTTCAAAACCACCATGCAGCCGGCGCCGCGGCTCACTAGGCTAATCCTCCGCCTAGCGGCGCCGGCACACCGGGTTCTAGTCCCGGTCGGGGCGCCGGATTCTGTCCCGGTTGCCCCTCTTCCAGGCCAGCCCTCTGCTGTGGCCAGGGAGTGCAGTGGAGGATGGCCCAGGTGCTTGGGCCCTGCACCCCATGGGAGACCAGGAAAAGCACCTGGCTCCTGGCTCCTGCCATCGGATCAGCGCGGTGCGCCGGTCGCAGCGCGCCGGCCGTGGCGGCCATTGGAGGGTGAACCAACGGCAAAAGGAAGACCTTTCTCTCTGTCTCTCTCTCTCACTGTCCACTCTGCCTGTCAAAAAAAAAAAATAAAAAATAAATAAAATAAAAATAAAAAAACAAAACCACCATGCAGGTCAAGAGCCAGGTCAGCCCCGGGTCGCCAGGTTGGAAGTCCTTGCTGGGCCCTAATGACTGCTGCTTTCCTGTAGCTGTGAACTCCAGTCAGCCCATAACCAAGGCCAGCAGGGACTCCGGGGCCCTGGACACACCTGTGGAGAACACCGCCAGGATCCAGAACCACTGCCAGGAGCCCTACTACCAGGCAGTGCCCCCAGGTGAGGAAGGGGCTTCCGTCTGCCTCGGTTCCGGCCAAAGGTCCTTGGCTGTCTGAGCCCTGCCCTGACAGCCCCCTACCCTCCAATTCTGAGCCTCTTTCTTTGCCTCCCCTCACTTTGCTCCTTAGGGACACCTGCCTGCCCAGCCCAGGGAACCTGGAAGGATGGACGGCCAAAGGAGGAGGTGCCTCAGTGTGTGCCCGGTGAGTGGTCACCCGCCCAGCGCTGCTCTGAGGGCCACGTCCCCAAAAAAGCCTCAGCGGTAACAGGCCCCACGGGATGGAGGGGCTGAAAGCTTCAGAATAGAACAGGGACATCCAAGCAGAAGGGGAGAGAGAAAGGGGCCTTCCAGAAAAGAAGAGGCCAGGAGTTCTCCCTTGGTCCTCAGGGGCTAAGACAAGCCTGAGAAAGTTAAAGCACCAGGAATCAGCTGGACAAAGCGAGGGAGGAAGAGGGCAGAAGAGGTGAAACAACAGGAAACCCTCTCTTTATATGGGATGTTTTAAGGGTACACAGACAGACTCTCTGTCCCAAAAATCTCTCCCTACCTGGAAGCCACACAAGCCAGAAAGCCCATTAAAAAAATCTTACTAAAATAAAATTCACCATTTTACCACTTTAAAGGGTACAATTCCATCATTTTTGTTGTGAAACCATTACCACTAATCCTGGAACATTTCTATCATCCGAAAAAGAAACCCGGTACCTTCAACCCTCTCTTCCCCTGTACCCGGGCAACCACAAATCCATTTTCTATCTCTAGGAATTTTCCTATTCCTGGACATTTTGTATAAAAGAAATCATGCAATGTGTGGTCTTTTGTGACTGTAGGCTATTACTTAGCATTGTATTTTCAGGGTTCATCCATGTTATAGCATATTTCAGTGCTTCATTCTTTTATATGGCCAAGTAATATTCCATCATATGGATCTATTTGTTTATCTATTTTTCCATTTATCAATTAATGGGCTTTGGGATTGCTTCTACTCAGGTGTAATATGATCAACGGCTCTGAGAGCATTCATGTGCAAGCTTTTATATCAACATGTTTCCAAATCTCTAGGATGTATACTTAGAAGTGGAATTTCTGGGTTACATGGAGCTTCTATGTTTGAGGAACCTCCAAACTGTGTTCCACAGCAGCTGCACTGTTGTCCTAAAGATTTATTTATTTATTTATTTATTTATTTATTTATTTGAAAGGAAAAGTGAAAGGCAGAGAAGGGGGTGGGGAAGAGAGAGAGAAGAGAGACAGAAAGATCTTCCATCTGCTAGTTGACTCCCCAAATAGCTGCAATAGCCAGGGCTTGGCCAGGCCATAGCCAGGGGCCAGCAACTCCATCCTGGTCTCCCACGTGGGTAGCAGGTGCCCAAGCACCAGAGCTATTTGCTGCTGCCTTCCCTGGTCCATTATTACGATGCTGGTCAGAAGTGGAGTAACCAGGACTTGAACCGGGGCTCTAATATGGGATGCCAGCGTCACAAACAGTGACTTAAGCTGCCATGCCACAGCACCGGCCCCAGCCGCACCATTCAGTCCACCATTTTTGAAGTCCACATTTTTTTTTTATCAAAGCATTGCTTTGCTAACCCAAACTGCTCCACAAAAAGCTCTAGGGGCAGCCTCAAGGATGGTAGTACTTTGGGAGTGAGTTGGAAGGTAGGTAGTAGTGGGAGACACTAAAAATGAGACGGTGATTCAGAAAACAAAAGCAAGAGACTCGCAGAGACACGTGATTTAGCCTGGAGATGGTCCCACCAACAGCCTAAAGGAACGGCTTAAAGATACCTGTGGAGGCAGGAGGGAGAGTCCAGCAGAGTCAGCCCCAACCCTGTGCTCATCTGTGCTCCCCAGCCTTCTGTCCATCCTCCTGAGTCCCATGCAGGGTTTGTGCCCAGAAGCGTCAGAATCACGGCTAATGGCTCTCCATATGGTCTACAGTTGGGGGCCAGAACAGTAGAGTGTGACCCCATGCATAGCCGTATCTGCGACCTTGAAGCCCGACCACAGCTACTGATCCTCTCTCCTGACCTCTCCTCCCTCCCAGTGTGCGGGCGGCCAGTCACCCCCATTGTCCAGGACCAGACGAGCCGTGGCTCCTCCAAAGCTCAGCTGGGCAACTTCCCCTGGCAAGCCCTCACCAGCATCTACGGCCGCGGGGGCGGGGCCCTGCTGGGCGACAGGTGGATCCTGACGGCGGCCCACACCATCCACCCCAAGGACAGCGTCTTTCCGGAGAAGCCCCGGAGTGTGGATGTGTTTCTGGGCCACACGGACGTGGAAGAGATGATCAAGCTGGGAAACCACCCCGTCCGCCGGGTCGTTATGCACCCGGATTACCGTCCAGATGAGTCCCACAACTTCACCGGGGACATCGCCCTCCTGGAGCTCCAGCAGAGCGTCCCGCTGGGCCCCCACCTCCTCCCTGTCTGTCTGCCAGACAACGAGACCCTCTACCTCAGCGGCAAGTCGGGCTACGTGAGCGGGTTTGGCATGGCCATGGGCCGGTTACCCACCAAGTTGAAATACTCGAGGCTCCCCATAGCTCCCAGGGAGGCCTGCGAGGCCTGGCTCCGGGAGAGGCAGAGGACCGAGGTGTTTTCCGACAACATGTTCTGTGTCAGGGACAACACGTGGGAGAACAGTGCCTGCCAGGGAGACAGCGGCAGCGTCTACGTGGTATGGGATGACCACGCCCATCGCTGGGTGGCCACCGGCATCGTATCCTGGGGCGTCGGGTGTGGCACTGGGTACAGCTTCTACACCAAAGTGCTCAACTACGTGGACTGGATCAAGGAGGTGATGGACAGCACAGAATGACCCTGCGGTGCTTGGGCGGCACTGTGGGGGCTGGGAGTGAGGGCGGCACGTTGGGCAGGGTGGGCAAAGAATCCCTATGCAGATCTGAGATGGAGCCACTGTGGGAGAGAGCTCCTCCCCTCAGGCCTGCTCCATCCCAGGTAGGAAGCCTGGTCCCCAGCCCCACTTTCTCCCTCTGCCTTCCTGCACACTGACACAGGGAAGACCCCGATGTCTCAGCATTTTGCACCTTAACCATCTCCCTCTGCGCTTCGTCCATTAACACAGCTTCTTCCGTACCTACCTGTGCGAGAGTCACCTGCTCGCCCCCACTCACGTGGAGTGTGACAGGAGCAGCCTTCATGGCATTTGCTTCTGGAACATTCCAAAGACCCTGTAGTTGGCCTCCAAGTTGTCAGACTGTTGGCTTTACCACCTGCCACAACTCCTAGGTGCAGCTACTGTAGCAGCTCTTTTGTGTTTTCTGTCTCCTATACAACAGGTGCTTCGCATGGTCTTTCACTTAATTCTAGCACCAGGTTTGCAAAGGACATATCATAGTCTGTTGTACAAATAAAGAGACTGCAAAAAGCTTTTTAAAAAGAGACAGTGACTTTGCTCAACTTCCCCAGCTCGCTTGTTGTTTTCAGGATGCCAGGACACCACTCAGTCGCCCTCCAGCCCTCGAGGGTCATCCTCTTCCCCCGCCCAGTCCCCAGTCCTCCCTCGCTGGGAATTTCCACTTCTGTGAAAAGGGTGTCACCTCACACTTGCCCCATCTCCTACAGACACCTGGCTGAGCCCCACACTGGACTAGAAGCCCCTGCCAATACTTAGTGTGTGCCTCCAATTGCTGTGCACTCTGGAGAAAACCAACTCTGTAATTTTGGTAAAGATTTGAGATTAATCAAAATTTGAAAGACACAATAAAATACAATGGTTCAATGATAATAGAAAATGAATTGTGGGGCGGCGCTGTGGTGCAGTGGGTTAAAGCCCTGGCCTGAAGCGCTGGCATAACATATGGGTGCCAGTTCAAGTCCCGGCTGCTCCACTTCCTGTCCAGCTCTCTGCTATGGCCTGGGGAAGCAGTGGAGGATGGCTCAAGTGCTTGGGCCCCTGTACCCACGTGGGAGACCAGGAAGAGGCTCCTGCTCCTGGCTTCGCATCTGCACAGCTCCGGCTGTTTCGGTCATCTGGAGAGTGAACCATTGGATGGAAGACCTCTCTCTCTCTCTCTCTCTCTTTAAAAAAAAGAAAGAAAGAAAGAAAACGAATAGCATAAAACCAAACAGAGTAAATTTATTAGCATTGACTGTCAAGTTGCTATACGGTCCAGGGTTGGATGTATATTTGACTGGGGCTAGCGTTGTGATACAGTGGGTTAAGCTGCGGCTTGCAACCCCGGCATCCTGTATCAGAAAGTCAGTTCAAGTCCCAGCTGCTCTGCTTCCAACCCAGCTCCCTGCTAATGCACCTGGGAAATCAACAGAGTACTTGGGCCCTTGCCACCCACATTGGAGACCCAAAAGGAGTTCCTGACTCCTGGCTGTGGCCTGGCCCAGCCCTGACTGTTGTGGTCATTTTTGGGGGGAGAGTGAACCAGTGGATGACGAATCTTTCTGCCCCCCCCCACTGTGCCTTTTAGAAAAAAATCTTTAAAATCTTTTTAAAAAATAAATAAACTTATCTTTGAAAAATAACAAGACTCAAAGTTGTAAATTAATGAAATTACTTCTATGTTTTAGAATTTTTTTTATTTGACAGGTAGAGTTATAGACAGTGAGAGAGAGAGAGACAGAGAGACAGGTCCTCCTTCCGTTGGTCTACCCGCCAAATGGCCGCTGCAGCTGGAGCTACGCTGATCCGAAGCCAGGAGCCAGGTGCTTCTTCCTGGTCTCCCACGCGGGTGCAGGCGCCCAAGCACTTGGGCCATCTTCCACTGCACTCCCGGGCCACAGCAGAGAGCTGGACTGGAAGAGGAAGAGCCAGGACTAGAACCCGGCGCCCATATGGGATGCTGGCACTGCAGACAGAGGATTAGCCAAGTGAGCCACGGCACCAGCCCCCACTTCTATGTTTTAAACCTTAATACTTACGAGAAAATATTTAAAATACAAACTACTAAACAGATGTTGTTTTAGGTGGTCGATATGATTTTGGCTGTTTGATTTTCCACTATTCTCTATTAGCTAAGTTTTATTTAATGAGCATGTTTGGTTTTATTTATTTTGCTTATTTTTCACTACTGAAAGAATAATATGCTTCTCCCCGCCAAGCAAAACACACATGCCTGCATCTATGCACATATGTCTAGACCCTCTCTGTAGATATGTGGATCTAGGTACATTTAGCTGCATCTAGAGATCTAAAGATGTAGATGAACACTAGAGCTGAGACAGAGACAGATCCATGGAGGACTTCTCTCAAGAGAGAAATTTTCCCCCCGGAGTCAAATCTTGAAAGGAAGGAAGAGAGCAGAAGTGTATTCCACGCCAGTTTTAAAACAGCTGCACAGCAGTCTTCACAGGGCTGGTTCTTTGTATTCTTGGTATGACTCCAAGTTTTAGCAAAAATGTGTAAACCATGGTGATTTCGAATGGTTGGTGAGAGTGGAGTTAGGGCTGGGCCTGGGGATGAAGCCCGACTGCCACTTTCTAGTTCTGTTATATGTTACCAGGATGGGACTCAGCCCCTAAAATGTTCCACGACCCCAGGACAGAACCCAGAATGTTGTGTGATCCCAGGACAGAACCCAGAATCCCCAGGATATTACAGGGACTAGGATGAATGGAGGGCTTCAGCTAAGGCTTACCTTCTTGGACCACTTCCTTTTTTTTTTTTTTTTTTTTTACAGGCAGAGTTAGACAGTGAGAGAGAGAGACAGAGAGAAAGGTCTTCCTTTTTCCGTTGGTTCACCCCCCAAATGGCCGCTACGGCTGGTGCTGCAACAATCCGAAGCCAGGAGCCAGATGCTTCCTCCTGGTCTCCCATGGGGTGCAGGGCCCAAGCACTTGGGCCATCCTCCACTGCCTTTCTGGGCCACAGCAGAGAGCTGGACTGGAAGAGGAGCAACCAGGACAGAATCCGACACCCCAACCGAGACTAGAACCCGGGGTACTGGCGCCACAGCCAGAGGATTAGCCTAGTGAGCTATGGCGTCGGCCTGGACCACTTCCTTCTTACCTGTTCCTTCTGCCCCTGTTATGAACATACAACACAGAGAGAGAGAGAGAGAGAGAGAGAGACAGAGAGACAGAGAGACAGAGATTAGAATCCTAAAGTGCAATTTTCTAGGGAAGATTTTTTTTAAGATTTATTTATTTATTTGAAATGCAGAGTTACAGAGAGACAGGTGCAGAGAGAGAAAGTGAGAGAGGTCTCCCATCTGCTGTTTCACTCCCCAAATGGCCACAATGGCCAGAACTGGGCCTATCCAAAGCCAGGAACCAGGAGCTTCTTCCAGGTCTCCCACGTGGATGCATGGGCCCAAGCACTTGGGCCACCTTCCACTGCTTCCCCAGGCCATAGCAGAGAGCTGGATCTGAAGTGGAGCAGCCGGGACTCAAACCGGCACCCATATGGGATGGTGGCACTGCAGGTGGCAGCTTTACCCACTACGCCACAGCACAGGCTCCTTCTCCCCTGCCTTATGTCTCTCTTGACCTGAAAGCCCAGGGCTCACATTGTGATCTAGTCAAGGATCAGCCCTGCCATCAGATTCGTTCCTCAGCTCTGACGCATGAACCCACTGGGGAAACACGTGATCACACGTCTTCCACGTGCATGCTCTCTAACTTGGCCACAGGCTACTGGGGAGCTGCCCATCTTTGTGAGTCTTTGCCATCCATTGCTCGGGAGAGTGCCTGGCACAGTACATGGATAGCCAGTGACTGGGGGTGGGGGAGTGGACAGATGGATGGAGGGAGGGAGGGATTGATCCGCTAAGGGAACAAGCCAGAGCCTCCCACTGGACAAAGTACTTCCGGGCACTTAGAGCTGTGGACAATTGACGAGGAAAAGCTGCTAAAATGAGGAAATTTGGAAAGCAGGGCACCACGGCCTAGCGGACAGAGACCCATGCCAGGGTCCTGGCTCCTTCTGGGAAAAGCCTGACTCATTCTTGCTCCCCAGCCACACCCTTTGCATAGCCTTCAGGGCCTCAAAACACAGGCTGAGGTAAAGAGGCCATTTCTACCCCCCTTTCAGGGCCTGGCTTCTCTAAGAACCAAGCTCCTTGGCCAGCCTGACTTGTGGAGGTGGGGAGAGACCACTTCAAAACCTAGGGCTATCTTGGGGTTGTCCTGATGTGACAATTCCTCCACTATGTCTAAGTGTCACTCATGCATAACGCAAGCCAGGATCCTGTGCAACCAAATTCCACTCTCCTCAGTGCACCCCGCCCTCCACTGTACCCCTGCCTTCTCCATTTCATGGCTCTTATCACCTCATCCTGGGCACCGAAACCCTGGCGCTTCCTGGCTCAGGGCCACTGGGTGAATAAGGATGAGAACAGCATCAGAGGGGCCGGCACTGTGGCGTAGTAGACTAAGCCTCCGCCTGTGGCACCGGCATCTCATATGGGAGCCAGTTCATGTCCCAGCTGCCCTTCTTCCAATCCAGCTCTTTGCTTATGGCCTGGGAAAGCAGTGGAAGATGGTCCAAGTGCCTGGGTCCCTGCACCCACCTGGGAGACCTGGGAGAAGCTCCTGGCTCAGCTCCAGCCATTGCGGCCATTTGGAGAGTGAGCCAGCATGTGGAAGAGCCCTCTCTCTCTCTCTCTTTCTCTCTCTCTCTCTGTCTCTCCCTCTCTCTGTCTCTAATTCTACCTCTCAAATAAATAAATAAAATTTTTCAAAAACCAAAAAAGAACAGTGTCAGAGAAGTGCAGGCTAGGAAACAGAGGTTCCTGTACCCCATAACTTCCCAGTACTCTTTGAGTAGGAACCTTGAACACAGGGAGCAGCCCCGAAGAAAGCCTCTGGACAAAGGCGATTCTGATCAGACTGAGAAAGCGGGCACAGTGAAGCCACCTCTTGGAATTTCTGCAGTCCACACTGGAGTGCCTGGGTCTGCTAATGCACACCCTTGCCACCCACTTGGAAGACTTGGATTGAGTTTCCAGCTCCTGAGAATTTGGGGAGTAAACCAGCAAATGGTTTTGCTCTCTCGCTCGCTCGCTCTTGCTCTCTCTCTCTCCCTCTCTCTCTCTCACAAATAAAACAATTTTTAAATTTTTTTTAAAAAATAAAAGAAAGAAGTTGAGGAGTGGGAACCTCCAACCGGAGGCTCCCTGTCCCCTCATACTTCAGACCTGGTCCCCGAACCTCTCCCCATGGAGACCAGCAGGTGGCACCACCAACAGGGATTTCAAAACCAAAACTAAACTCAAGTGGAAACTCAGATTTTTTTTGTTTATGCAAATTGTACATTCCCCAACACTCCTCCGGGAATGGTCCCCCCTCCACCTCCGCTGTGATTCCCTCCCCCTTGCCTCCTCTGCGTGCCCCACACTCTCCCTCAACATACGGGGCAGGGAGGCGCTTGCGGGAGAACCCAGGATCCCAAACCCAGCCCCGAGAAATGTAAGTACAGTCACCCTGACGGGCACCCAGGGAGGGGAAGCCAGTGCAGAACCCCGGGGGGCAGCCTTGGAGGAACCTTGAGGGACCCCCACCCCTGCCCCCAGGCCCCTCCTTGCTCCCAGGGGGCCGGACACATACCCCCCACTATATACCTGCTCTGTCCCCGTGTGCACACACGTGTCTGCCCAGCCACATACCCCCATCTCTCCTGGGAGCTGCACAGAGGGGCCAATGTGCAGCCCCATGGCAGGGAGCCCTGAGGGCCGGGCAGCCCCTGCGTCCAGGAGGACCCTCGGTGTTTCCCCAGGTTCCAAGTGCGGTTTCTCCCAGAGGCCTTTGCAGAGCTTGGGGAGCCCGCTCAGAGCGCCAGGGCTGGGAACCCTCACCCTCACTTCCCTGGTCCCAGGCCAGCCCTGTTTCGGGAAAGGGAGGCGCGGGAGGAGATTGGGGAGGGAGTGTGAGGGGAGTGAGATGACCTCTGGACTGGACACTGCCCAGGGGGAAGGGACAGCAGCAAGTGGCTGCAGAGGCTGGCTCCCCCACCCCACACCCCTGCCTGGAATGTCTCCGGGAGCCCTGGGATGAGCAGCGGGGACCCTGCCCTCATGCAGCCGGCCATTGCCCCCTGAGGCCATGGACACCCTCTTTCTTTTTGGCAGGTGGAGCCTCTACCTCCTGCTGCCAGCCCTGTTCTGCCTGGTGGGAGGCTCCATCCACATCCCCCCGAAGCTCTTTGGGGAGGTGACCTCCCCTCTGTACCCCAAGCCTTACCCCAACAACTTCGAGGCAACCACGGTGATCTCGGTTCCCCCGGGGCACAGGGTGAAGCTGGTCTTCTGGCAGTTTGATGTGGAGCCCTCCGAAGGCTGTTTCTATGACTATGTCAAGGTAGGGCCACTGGGGAAGCTGGCCGCCCCCTGCCGAGGCCAGCAGGCGGTGGCCAGAGGGAGCCGTGGTGGGGCAGAGGGAGCCGCCGTGGTGGGGCATACGTCACACCAGGGCCAGGCAGGGGACCTTCGCAGACCTGCCGCAGGGGACGTGGCTCCTACCCCCCCTTTCCTCCCCCAGATCTCCGCTGATAAGAAGAACCTGGGGAGGTTCTGCGGGCAGCTGGATTCCCCACGGGGCAACCCCCCGGGAAAGAAGGAATTTGTCTCCCAAGGGAACAAGATGCTGCTGACCTTCCACACGGACTTCTCGAACGAAGAGAACGGCACCATCATGTTCTATAAGGGCTTCCTGGCCTACTACCAGGCTGTGGGTGGGTGGCTCCCAAGGGCCCTTTTCCTGGCCTCAGCCACAAAACAAATCCAGAATCTGCCAGGGCTCAAAGCCTGGTTTTCCTTGTTTCTTACCTCCAGAGGACTTTCTCCAGAAGAGTCCTGTCCCCCTGGGCTCTGCCCCCTTTGGGCAGTTACTAGAGAGCCCCAGTTTTGAGGCTCGGGTTGGGGAGGGGTGCAGGTGGCCAGGGGTCTGGGACGGGCAACCTCTCTGAGCCTCTGCAGAAGTCTCCTAGCAGGAATGCAACCCTCCCTTCCAGACCTTGACGAATGCGCATCCCAGCGGGACTTCTCTGAGGACAACCCCCAGCCCCAGTGCCAGCACCTGTGCCACAACTACATCGGCGGCTACTTCTGCTCCTGCCTCCCAGGCTACGAGCTGCAGAAGGACAAGCATTCCTGCCGGGGTGGGTCAGGGTGGGAGGTGAGCAGGAGGCAGGGGCTTGTGGGCTCCGCCAGGCAGCCCCCGTGACCGCGTCCGGCTCTGCTCTCGCAGCTGAGTGCAGCAACAGGCTGTTCACGGAGCCGTCGGGCTTCATCTCCAGCCTGGAGTACCCCCAGCCCTACCCCCCGGATCTGCGCTGCAACTACAGCATCCGGGTGGAGCGGGGCCTCACCCTGCACCTCAAGTTCCTGGAGCCTTTCGAAATTGATGACCACCAGCAAGTGCACTGTCCCTATGACCAGCTACAGGTATGGCCACCCCTACAAAGACCCCTCCCCCTTCCTCCCTCTCTCCTTCCTCCTGCATCCTCTGGGCCAACTGGGACAGGAATGGCCAGCATCACACGAGGACTTGGCTAGTCCCCGAACAACTGGACGTGGGTCCTGGGATCCCTTGTGACTTTCAGCTGAAAACCTACCTAAGACAGGAGTCCACCCTGCTGCCGCCACCCTGGCCGCCAGGCCAATCAATACCCACCTAGCCCCATGTCCAAGTGCCCGAGCTGGAGCAATCACACTCCCTCCTCCTCCGCCAGATCTACGCCAGCGGGAAGAACCTGGGTGAGTTCTGTGGGACACAGAAGCCCCCCGACCTCGACACCAGGAGCAACGCTGTGGATCTGCTGTTTTTCACGGACGAGTCGGGGGACAGCCGGGGCTGGAAGCTGCACTACACCACCGAGAGTAAGCGTGCCCGTGGGCCTCCCTGTGTGGCCAGCCGGGAGAAGGTGGGAAGTCAGAAGACAAAGGACACGTGGTTCTGAAGTGAGCGTGCCCTCTGACCTCCCTTACAGTCATCAAGTGCCCCCAGCCCAAGACGCTCGATGAGTTCACCATCATCCAGGACCTGCAGCCTCAGTACCAGTTCCGTGACTACTTCATTGTCAGCTGCAAGGAAGGCTACCAGCTCGTGGAGGTAAGAGCCCGGGGCTCAGGGGTCAGAGCCAGCGCAGCAGCCCAGGAGGAGCTCGGACGGGTAGGCCCCCAGTGGCTCTAGGCTCACCCCCGGCTGGAATCACAGTGGTTTGAGCTTTAAAATCCCTGGTGTCTGGATGCCTCAGTGGAGACTTTGAGTCTAGAGTGCAGCCTGGGCCTCCAGGTTATTTAAACCTGTCCAAGGTGATTCTGATGTGCAGCCAAGTTCAAGTTGAAGTCCAGTTACTCACTGTAGAATTAGAAACTGAAAAGGCAGAGTGGAGATGGCAGTGACTTACTCAGCATCATACAGTGACTTTTGTACAGCAGGGACCAGAAACCAGATCTCCTGCCACCTGCTCCAGGGCCCTGTCGTGCACACTGGTGGTCTCACCCTGGGCCCACCCTCCCGGCCTCAGCTCTGCAGATTCAGGAGGGAATGTGGATTTATCTGTTGGCCAATCTCACAAATGCTGACAGACTAAAAGATTGTTTTAGAAAGCATATGATTGGAGTTACCCCTGGCCTCAGAGACCCAGGACTGGATACCCCATCTTTGTTCAATAGATCCACTGGGAAGACCTCAGCAAAATTAGGGGAGACCCGTGGCATGTCCTTAAGTGGTAGCGAATGCACTCAACTGTCAGGCTGTGTGTTAGAGGTGGAAGTTCAGGAAAGGGAGACACACACCTTCGTGGACCTTCCATCTGAAGCTACTTGGCTTCCTTTGCAGCCTCACTCCAAGGTGCTCCCAATTGCATCAGGAGGGTTGGGAGGGGTCGGGGTCCTGGGTTCTGAAGACTGGAGACCAACACCTCTGCTCCAGCAACGGCACTCCCTTCCTTACGCCATCTCCACCCTTGCCTTTGCTTTCTCTTTCACACCCTAGAATTGAAAGGCAGTTGGTGGTTTCTCATGTAGTTTCCACTTCCCTCAGAGATCCTGGCTCTCAAACACATTCTCGTGCAGTCTTCCTGGGCTAGTTCTCCAGCGGGACTTTTGGGCTTAAACTCATTCGTGTTGTCCAGGAACTTCTCATTTCAGAGGTGCCTTCTTCTGGTCTTGGCCCTGTTGTCTACTCAACTACGCCCACTCTTCCGGCCCATCCATGTCTCATGGGGCAGTGTGGGCATGTGCCTTTGAAGAACACTGCAGTCTGGGAGACAGAGAGAGAGAGAGAGAGAGAGAGAGAGAGATGCAGGTCTAGACTGGCAGGGCCCTCCAGAGAGAGAGAGAAAGAGAGAAAGAGAGAAAGAGAGGGAGAGGGAGAGGGAGAGAGAGAGAGAGAGAATGTTTCAATACAGAAAGCAACCTGGCATGGGAAGGGGTTTAAATTGCAAACTGGGGGGTTTGGCAGGATCTAGAGAGAAGAGTGTTGGATCTAACAACCAGACGTGCCCTGACCTTCTGCCCTGTAACCATGCAACTCAGTGCTTCCGTCTGTAACTCTGGACTAGCTAGGAAAAGGAAGAAGGAGCCGCACCCATGGGGAGCCGAGGCCCGAGAGCTTGGATGACAGCCTTGTACCCCCAGCTCTCCTGCACGGGGCAGGACAGGCAGTGGAGCTGCGGGTGCTCAAGGTACCCATGGCACCTCTGACCTCTGTTCAAACAGGGGAACAAGGCGCTGCCCTCCTTCACGGCTGTCTGCCAGGATGACGGCACGTGGCATCGCGCCATGCCCAGGTGCAAGAGTAAGTCACAACTCGGGGGTGTGCTTGCCCCTGGGGACCTCACCCCCTCCCCACCAGCCTGGGGGACCTGAGCTGAGAAGGGAAGAGGGGGCTCCAGACTAAGCTCTCGCAAGAGACCCTTCCCTGGACTTGTCATTTGAAGCCTGTGGCCCATGTCATGACCTACTGAGCCCTCAGCTTAGCAGGATTGACATCCCCTGCAAGTGCCATCTCCATTGACCACATTTCTCTACGGTGCTCAGCCTGTTCTGTGGGCAGACAACTCACTCTCCCCCTACCCTGCCACTGAAGTTCCAGTGCAGTCTTTCTCAGCTCTCACACGGCCTTGTGTTCCCTCTAAGTCAAAGACTGCGGGCAGCCCCGAAGCCTGCCCAACGGGGACTTCCATTACACCACCGCCAAGGGAGTGAACACCTACCAAGCCGGGATCCAGTACCACTGCCATGAGCCATATTACAAGATGCACACCAGAGCTGGCGTCAGTGAGTCCACACGAGGTAGGAACTGACAAAAATGGCAGTCTTGTCCCTTCCATCTTCCTGGGACACCCTGTGAGATTTCTTCCAATAGACTCCTAGAGAAGATATAGTAAGGTATCTGCCCAGAGCTCTGGCTTCAGAGACCCAAATTATAGTGCCAAGTGGAATCGAGTAGGTTTGAAGAAGTAGGCATCTGAGCTGATGCAAAGACAAGACTTGAATCTCATTAACAATACTCTTCCATCACTATTCCCACCACCACCATTGCCATCACTACAACTACCATCACCACCATAACCCCTCTACCACCAGCAGTTATACCATCCTAGTCAACACCATCTACAAGCATCACCATCAACACTGCCATCACCACCTATACCACTACCAATACCACAATCACCACCATCACCATCATCACCACCAGTTCCAACACCACTATCACCACAAGTACTGACACCAATACCACCATCACTAACATCACCACCAACACCATTGCTACCATTACCAATATCAATACCGTCATTACCATCACCATCACCATCACTACCCCTATGTCAGTGAGACTTTCCTGCCATTCTCCCTAATCAGACTGATATGTTGTGGTTTATTATTGCATTTAACTTTACTAAAGGGCTCTCAAAATCCAACTATGGATATCTTTAATTTTTTTAAATAAAAGAAACCAAGGCAGGCATTTGGCACAGTGGTTAAGCCGCTGCCTAAGATGCCCACATCCCAGTCAGAGTTCCTGGTTCAAGTCCCAGCTAGTCTGCCTCCTACCCAACCTCCTGCTAATGCAGCAAATTATGGCTCAAGTGATTGGGTCCCTGCCACCCCTGTGGGAGACTTAGACTGAGTTCCTAACTCCTGGCTTCAGCCCAGCCTGCCCCAGCTGTTGTGAACACTGGGGAGTGAACCAGCAGGTGGAAGACCTCTCTCTATCTGTCTATCTCTCTGCCTTTCAAATAAAAATCAATCTAAAATTTTTAACAGCATTAAAACAAGCATATGCATATATTTATATTTATTATATTTTATGTATTTATTATCTATATGTGTATATAGATATAGATATATATGTAGAGAGAGAGAGAGAGAGCGCCTCCTGACACTTTTGCTAGCCTTTCCCTATGCAGCTGAAGCTTCTACCCTGGCTCAGGGCTCACTGGCCTCTGCAACCTGGCTCTTTTCCATCCCCTCCCAATGGCTGACAGCCCCTCTCTCCTCAGGGATGTACACCTGCACAGCCCAGGGCATTTGGAAGAATGAGCAGGAGGGAGAGAAGATCCCTCGGTGTCTGCCAGGTCAGTGGAAGCCCTCGGGTACGGGGAAAGCAGACGAAGCAAGGGGAGAGGCTGCAGTGTGATGAGGGCAACAGCTGAGTGAGGAGAGTGGGGCGGCCCTTCCTTCCCAGGAGGGGAGAGCGAGGGACAGAAAATGGGACCGATCCTGTCACGCCAGCCAGCGCGCTCAGTGCACAGACAGAGAATCGGGGAATAAGAAGGAAATCAAGGGCCGGCGTGCGGCTCACTAGGCTAATCCTCCGCCTTGCGGCGCCGGTTCTAGTCCCGGTCGGGGCGCCGGATTCTGTCCCGGTTGCCCCTCTTCCAGGCCAGCTCTCTGCTGTGGCCAGGGAGTGCAGTGGAGAATGGCCCAGGTGCTTGGGCCCTGCACCCCATGGGAGACCAGGAGAAGCACCTGGCTCCTGCCATCGGATCAGCGCGGTGCGCCAGCCGCGGCGGCCATTGGAGGGTGAACCAACGGCAAAGGAAGACCTTTCTCTCTGACTCTCTCTCTCACTGTCCACTCTGCCTGTCAAAAAAAAAAAAAAAAAAAAAAAAAAAAAAAAAAAAGATGGAAATCAAGCAGAACAAGGAGAGGAAGCTGATAGCGGGCCAGAGAAGGGGGTGCGGGGGCAGGCCTGAGAGCCAGCAGGAGGGCCACACAGGAAGGGACTGACCCCCCCGAGGGCAGAGGGGACAGGCCCTGGCGCTGACCTGTCCTTGTCCCCGCCTCTCCTCGCCAGTGTGTGGGAAGCCGGTGCACCCTGTGGAACAGAAGCAGCGCATCATCGGAGGGCAGAAGGCCAAGCTGGGCAACTTCCCGTGGCAGGCGCTCACCTCCATCCACGGGCGGGGCGGGGGCGCTCTGCTGGGCGACCGCTGGATCCTCACGGCCGCCCACACCCTCAACCCCAAGGGTCACAACGCCCAGAACAACGTCTCCCAGAATGTATTCCTGGGCCACACGAACGTGGAAGAGATCATGAAGCTGACCAACCACCCCGTGCGTAGGGTCATCATCCACCCAGACTACCGCCAGGACGAGGCCCACAATTTTGATGGGGACATTGCCCTGCTGGAGCTGGAAAACAGTGTCACCCTGGGCCCCAACCTCCTCCCCATCTGCCTCCCCGACAACGAGACCTTCTATGACAAGGGGCTCATGGGCTATGTCAGTGGTTTTGGGATCATGGAGGAGAGGATTGCCGATGACCTCAGGTTTGTCCGCCTGCCCGTGGCCAAGCGGGAGGCCTGTGAGCGCTGGCTCCGGGAGAAAAATAGGCCCGACGTGTTTTCTCAAAACATGTTCTGTGCTGGGGACCCCATGCTAAAGCAGGATGCCTGTCAGGGGGACAGTGGCGGTGTCTTTGCGGTGAGGGACCCGCACAGTGATCGCTGGGTGGCCACGGGCATCGTATCCTGGGGCATTGGGTGCAGCAGGGGGTACGGCTTCTACACCAAATTGCTCAACTACGTGGACTGGATCAAGAAAGAGATGGAGCAGAAGGACTGAGCCCAGGATTCCCCCGGTCAGAACCCAGAGAGCAGTGTGTACAAGAGAAGGCGATGTGACCAGCCATTGATAACCACTAAGTTGCCGTATTAAAATCACCGATGCATAAAGGCACTGAGTGCAATGCATCTCTTCCCTGTAGTCACACCTGTGTTCTTCACCTGAACTAACTCGGCAGCCTTTCTTTCCTCCAAGGCTTGCAGGGGATGCAGCTATCAACCTCTGAATTATCACTTTCCTCTTCCATATTTGCAATGTTGTGTAACTGAATAAAACCCTTTCCAAATAAAATTTTGTGAGAAATTCCAGAATGTAGAATGAATCAAAGTGGTGTTTAATCAATAAGAAAGTATGTAGCATAAGGCTGGCACCGTAGCTCACTAGGCTAATCCTCCGCCTTGCGGCGCCGGCACACCGGGTTCTAGTCCCGGTCAGGGTGCCGGATTCTGTCCCGGTTGCCCGTCTTCCAGGCCAGCTCTCTGCTGTGGCCAGGGAGTGCAGTGGAGGATGGCCCAAGTACTTGGGCTGTGCACCCCATGGGAGACCAGGAGAAGTACCTGGCTCCTGCCATCGGATCAGCTCGGTGCGCCCGCCGCAGCGCGCCGGCCTTGGCGGCCATTGGAGGGTGAACCAACGGCAAAGGAAGACCTTCCCCTCTGTCTCTCTCTCTCACTGTCCACTCTGTCAAAAAAAAAAAAAAAAAAAGTATGTAGTATGATCGTATTTTAAAAATTTACTTAGAGGCCAGCGCTGTGCTGCAGTGGGTTAAAGTCCTGGCCTGGAGCACCAACATCCCATATGGGCGCCGGTTCTAGTCCCGGATGCTCCACTTCTGATCCAGCTCTCTGCTATGGCCTGGGATAGCAGTGGAGGATGGTCCAGGTCCTTCGGCCTCTGCACCTGCGTGGGAGGCCCGGAGAAGGCTCCTGGCTCCTGGCTCCTGGCTCCAGCTCTGGCCGTTGCGGCCATCTGGGGAGTAAACCAGCGGATGGAGGACCTCTCTCTATGTCTCTACCTCATCTGTAACTCTGTCTTTCAAATAAATAAAATAAATCTTTAAAAAAATTTACTTAAAAAGGCAATGAGAACAGTTGAGTTTACATACACCTTTAGAGTTAGAGCTATAGATAACCACATATTTCCATGTTTTGTTTTGATTGTCCATTACAAAGAAAATTATTAGGATTTTCTCACCTACATCAGATCATGGCCCAAGTCCCTGGGCCGTGCCACCCATGTAGGAAACCTAAATGAAGTTCTAGACTCTGGCATTGGCCTGCCAGCCCTAGCTGTTGCGGCCATTTCGAAAATGAACTAGAGGATGGGCAATCTCTCTCTCTCTCTCTCTCTCTCTCTCTCTCTCTCTCTCCCTCTCTCTCATCTCTCTGCCATTCAAATAAATAAATATTCTTTAAAAAAAAAAAAACAGATAACAGCTTTTTAAGTGGCTCATGGCACAATCTCTAAATATCCCTGATGGAGCAGGCATTTGATGCGTCAGTTAAGTCACCAAATCCCGTATCAGAGTGCCTGGTTCTCCTCTCAGCTACTCGGCTTACAATCCAGCTTCTCGATCATGCACCTTCTGGGATGCAGCAGGTGATGGCTTGAGTGCTTGGGTCCCTGCCACACACATTGGAAGACCCAGATTGAGTTTGAGGCTCCTGGCTCCAGCCTGGCACAGTCCTGGCTGCTGTGGGCATTTGAGGAGTGAACCAAAGGATCGAAGATCCCTGTCTCTCTCCCTCTCTCCTCGTGTCTCTTTTGTATAATATGGCTGCTGCGGCTGGCACACTGCGCCAATCTGAAGCTAGGAGCCAGCTGCTTCCTCCTGGTGTCCCAGTGGGGTGCAGGGCCCAAGCACTTTTATTCCTTAAATAGTCCTAAATTTATTTCAGGGAAGATTAAAAACTTGAAATAAGCATCGTAAGCATCAGGGCCAGCATTGGGACTAGAACCTGGGGTGCCAGCGCCACAGGCGGAGGATTAACCAAGTGAGCCACGGTGCCGGATGACTGCTCCACTATTGATCCAGCTCCCTGCTAATGTGCCTGGGAAAAGCAGTGCAGGATGGCACAGCTACTTGGACTCCTGCCACCCACGAAGGAGATCCAGAAGAAACACCTGGCTCCTGGCCTCAGTGTGGCCTAGCCCTGGCTGTTGGGGCCATTTGGGGAGTAAACCAGTGGATGGAAGCTCTCTCTCTCTTTCGTCTGGCTACCTAACCACCCCATAACTCTAACTTTCAAATACATAAATAAATCTTTTTTAAAAGAATGTAAGTATTAATACTGGAGCGTGGTCACAATGTAGCTACAGATCTGACTCCTCTGGACTTGACTGAATTTTACAAGATGAAATGTGCACAGGCCTAAGAGACCAGTGCAGAGTTAAAGCATTCCCAAGCAATGATGACTTGTAAATCCAAACACAAGTTCACAATCCCTTATCTGACATCTGCAGGGGCAACTGCTTCTCAATATTCAAGATTTATAGATTCCAGAAATCTATATACACATGCTCACGCAATATCTCTACTGTGGTCAAGGACAACACCTGGTAACAAAACAGATGAGGAGTTCTTTAGAAAGACATTTAAATATTCACAACAAGTGAGATAAAGTCTCCAACTAGCTACCGATCAGTTCAGATCAGATTTGGATTTTGGCATTTGGATTTTTGAGTTTTGATGCCAAACTTACAAAAGCATTTTCAGATTTTAGAGCATTTTGCTTTTCAGGAGTGTGGGTTTCAGGATAGTGACAGAAATGACAGAAGAAAACTTTCTCTCCCACATAAACGGCATCTGACACCCTTGAGGAGTATAGGTTTCTTACAAGTTTTCAATGCTTACTCATAGAAACATTTTCAGAAGTATTTTCAGCATTCTACTGGAGATACAAGTGGTGTGGAGCAGAGGAGACAGAGCTGGTAAAAACAAAACAACCCCCCTACACACCCAAAAATTTTCCTATATTGTCTCTAAAGTTCCTGGGCAAACTGAAGAGTCTGCCTCCCTCACCCTTGTTCCTCAGGGGACTATGGGGAAGTCAGATGACCCCGTGACCCGTTCCTGTTCTCCTCCCCTAGAGCCACCTGTGTCTCGTTCTGCAAAGGCCCCGGAATAGACAAAGATGGACAAAACCAATGGATACCGTTAATAAAAAGAAAAAAAATTACTTTGAGATTTTGAGGCTTAACTTCACTTACAATAAGGAAAGTATTCAAACAAAATACCATCCTTTTGCCTATAAGATTGGCAAAGAAAATGTTCTTTTTTGTTTTAAAGATTTATTTATTTATTCAAAAGTCAGAGTTACATAGAGAGAGGAGAGGCAGAAAGAGAGAGGTCTTCCATCCGATGGTTCACTATCTCCAGTTGGCCGCAACGGCCGGAGCTGCACCGATCTGAAGCCAAGAACCAGGAGCTTCTCCCAGGTCTCCCACATGGGTGCAGGGGCCCAAGGACTTGGGCCATCTTCCACTGCTTTCCCAGGCCATAGCAGAGAAGTGGTTCGGAAGTGGAGCAGCCTGGACTTGAACTGGCGCCCATTTGGGATGCTGGCACTTCAGGCCAAGGAGTTAACTCGTTGTGCCACAGCGCCAGCCCTGGCAAAGAAAATATTCTATATTGAAGATGCAGAGAGGGGCCAGTGCTGTGGCATGGAAGGGTAAGCTTCCGCCTGCATTGCTAGTATCCCGTATCAAGTCTCGGCTGCTCCACTTCCAATCCAGCTCCCTGCTAATAACTTGAGAAAAGCAGTAGAAGATGGCCCAAGTCCTTGGGCCCCTGCACCCACGTGGGAGACCTTGAAGAAGCTCCTGGCTCCTGGCTTCAGCCTGGCTCAGCCCTGGCCATTGCAGCCATTTGAGGAATGAACCAGTGGATGGAAGATCTCTCTCTCTCTCTCTCTCTCTCTCTCTCTCTCTTTCTCTGTCTCTCTCTGCCTCTCCTCCCTTCTCTGTATCTCTGCTTTTCTTTTCCCCCAAAGATTTATATATTTATTTATTTGAAAGTCAAAGTTACACAGAGAGAGAGAGAGAGAGGAGAGGCAGAGAGAGAGGTCTTCCATCTGCTGGTCAACTCCCCAGTTGGCCACAATGGCCAGAGCTGTGCCGATCCAAAGCCAGAAGCTTCCTCAGGGTCTTCCCATGCAGATGCAGGGGCCCAAGGACTTAGGTCATCTTCCACTGCTTCCCCAGGGATAGCAGAGAGCTTGATTGGAAATTGAGCAGCTAGGACTTGAACCAGCGCCCACATAGGTTGCCAGCACTGCAGGCAGTGGTTCTACCCACTACGCCACAGAGCTGGCCCCATCTGCCTTTCAAATAAATAAATGAATCTTTACCAAAAAAAAAAAAAAAAAAAAAAGATGCAGAGAGAAGTCACTGTCATGCATTGCCTTTTTTTTTTTTTTTTTTTTTTTTTTTTGACAGGCAGAGTGGACAGTGAGAGAGAGAGAGACAGAGAGAAAGGTCTTCCTTTTGGTTCACCCTCCAATGGCCTCTGCGGCCGGTGTGCTGCGGCTGGCACACCGCGCTGATCCAAAGGCAGGAGCCAGGTGCTTCTCCTGGTCTCCCATGGGGTGCAGGGCCTAAGCACTTGGGCCATCCTCCACTGCCTTCCCGGGCCACAGCAGAGAGCTGGCCTGGAAGAGGGGCAACCAGGAACAGAATCCGGTGCCCCGACCAGGACTAGAACCCAGTGTGCCGGCGCCGCTAGGTGGAGGATTAGCCTATTGAGCCAAGGCGACGGCCTGCACTACTTTTTAGAACCTAAATTGGTGTAAACGCTGTGGGGGGAAATGGGCAACAGGTATTCAGAATTACAGATGCACATGCCTTTCACCGGCCATTCCACTTCCAGGAATTTATCCCACATTTTCTCACATTTGAGGAAAATTTGAGGCTCGCAACAACTAACAAGTGCAACAGTGGCATTATTCATACTAGCAAAGTGTTCGAGTCCTGGACTCTGAAAGATATCTCGTCCCAAAGTTTCAGGTGAATTATGGAATATTACTGAATTATAGAAAATTATGAAATATCCAAATAATGGAAAGCAACGTGGCTATTCAGTCTGCAAGATTGAGCAGTAAGTCAGAAAAGTAAGCAGAACAGTATGTGCAAAATGCTACCATTTGTATAAAAATGACATTGGGGGTATTTATCATTGTATGTGTATAAAATATCACCAGAAGCTTCTATAGAAATAGTGGTGGTCTCTGGGGGGAAGACAGGAGTGGGAGGGAAAGTACCACTTATACTCTTTTTTTAAAAAAGATTTATTTATTTATTTGAAAGTCAGAGT